AAGCCACCAAAATTCAAACTTGATCTGTGTGATAAGGTAATAAGCATTGTGTATAAGTTTCATAACAATTTTTCCATTTGTAAAGGGACATAACTCTAGAACAGTAAGAGCGACACCACCAAAACTCACACTTGATCTGTATTTTGTTGTAATAAGCATTGTGTACAAGTTTCATAACATTTGGTTGAGGCTAACTTAAGTGAGAGAATGGAAACAAGAAATTCAGCAATTCTTTCATTTGTAAAGGGGCATAACTGTAGAACTGTTAAAGTGAAGCCACCAAAATTCAAACTTGATCTGTGTGATAAGGTAATAAGCATTGTGTATAAGTTTCATAACATTTGGTTGAGGCAAATTAAAGTTAGAGAACAGAAACGAAAAAATATAGCAATTTTTCCATTTGTTAAGGGGCATAACTCTAGAAAGGTTATAGTGACGCCGCCAAAATCCAAACTTGATCTGTGTTTTGTGGTAATAAGCATTGTGTAAAAGTTTCATAACATTTGGTTGAGGCAAACTAAAGTTAGAGAACGGAAAACAACTTTGGAAAGTACTGCGTACTAACAGACGGACAAGGGTGAAACTTAATGCCCCCTCCGCTATGGCGGGGGCGTACAAAAACAAGAATGCACACGCTGAAATGTCTCGCCTGCTTTACTGACCATTGATTTTATGTTGATAGTCCTAAAAATAAAGCTTTACTACAAGTATCACATGAACTTAACATGATCCAAGAAAATGAAGTCCAGGTCAGATAAACCAAACTGGAAATACATGTTCACCTAACAATCATTCCATACACCAAATATAGTTGACCTACTGCTTATCGTTTCTTAGAAACGAACTTAACCAGGAAACCTTAACATTGACCAATGAAACATGAAAAAAGGTCAAGGTCAGATGAACCATGCCAGACAGACATGTACACCTTACAATCAATCCATCCATTACATATAGTTGACTTACTGCTCATAGTATCTAAGAAATAAACTTAACCATGAAAATGGTTGGAAGGCGGGGTCATCGGACAAATTTTTTAAATTAGATACCCTAATAATGATTATGGCCAAGTATGGTTAAATTTGTCTCAGTAGTTTCAGAGAAGAAGATTTTTGTAAAAGATTACAAAAATTTACAAAAAATTGTTAAAAATTGACTATTAAGGCCAATAACTCTTAAAGGGTTCGACTGACAATTTTGGTCATCACAACTTATTTGTAGATCTTACTTTGCTGAACATTATTGCTGTTTACAGTTTATCTCTATCTATAATAATATTCAAGATCATAACCAAAAACTGCAAAATTTCCTTAAAATTACCAATTCAGGGGCAGCAACCCAACAACAGGTTGTCAGATTTGGCTGAAAATTTCAGGGCAGATAGATCTTGACCTGATAATTAGTTTTACCGTGTCAGATTTACTCTAAATGCTTTGGTTTCAGAGATATAAGCCAAAATCTACATTTTACCCCTATGTTCTATTTTTAGCCATGGCGGCCATCTTGGTTGATTGGCGGGGTCATCGGACACATTTTTAAAACTAGATACCCTAATGATGATTGTGGCCAAGTTTGGTTAAATTTGGCTCAGTGGTTTCAGAGAAGAAGATTTTTGTAAAAAGCTAACGACGACGACGACAACGACGACGGACACCAAGTGATGAGAAAAGCTCACTTGGTCCTTCGGCCAGGTGAGATAAAAATTGGCATGTAGAAAAATGATACATGTGCAATTCAGGATATTTCTGGTTTCTATGAAATTAAACTTAAGGAAAAATATTTAGAAAGCTGTGAAATTTGCATAATTTGGTTGAATAGATAGATTTTGAATTAGTTTTCTGACACCTAAAATTTCATGAAGGTTTGACAGTTATTGATGTTTTAAAACATTGCAAAACAGACTGTACCGAAATTTTGACAACGCCAACGCTGAGAGAATCTAGGATCGATAAGTCTTGTTTTCGCAACAGAAATGTTGCAGGCTCAACTAAAATGCAAACCACATAATGTATCTCAACAGATAAGGAATTGTTTTGAACAATAGGAAACTAAGTAAAATTCGCAGTAGATTCAGACTGCCAGAAAATAAACAAATATATAGTATGATGCAATTTGATTAAAAAGTAAATTTCGTCACTTTATCTTAACTACAATCCGTTGAAGAAAGAATTACAAGACTCATGTGATTGAACCATTTCTTTCAATTTATCTAGATTAAACTATTGATTAGATATAGGAAGATGTGGTATGAGTGCCAATGAGACAACTCTCCATCCAAGTCACAATTTATAAAAGTAAACCGTTATAGGTCAAGGTACGGTCTTCAACACGGAGCCCTGGCTCACACCGAACAACAAGCTATAAAGGGCCCCAAAAAATTACTAGTGTAAAACCATTCAAACGGGGAAAACAAAAGGTCTAATCTATATAAAAAAAACGAGAAGCTAGAAACACTTATGAACCACATCAACAAACGACAACTTCTGAACATCATATTATTGAGTTCTCTTAAATTCATGTGCAAGCCTGGGCGTTTTGATGTAAACGTAGCTACGCACCTGCATTATATTGTATGTTTGATTTAAATGTATATGAATGTATAAATGTTCTGTTATACAGGCTGAATCTTGAATCTAGATAGTTTAATACTGCATATCTAGCATATTTATTGATTTGAACTTGGCTGCAACACTTGTTGCTAAGTAGCCATTTTCTAAAGGGTTATTGTATTGAGAAATAAAATGACAAATTAAATCAAATTTGGTGGTTTGACAAAAAATGACCATATTGCACATTATCCATTCAGAAAGTTTGGTCAAGTTGAACTTTAACTATCATTTGAAAACAAAAAAGAGGCAAATGAACAGGTGACAGAAGGACATATATTTGCTTTACTATATTCCTCCTTCTAATCAAAACAAATTACATCCTAAAACCTTCGACTGAAGACAAAATACAATAAGGGGGGAAAAGTTTGATAATCTTTAACTTACATCATTGAACATGATTTAAATAAACTGTTCACACAGATAGATATCTCAACTCTTTATATTTTGAAAGTAAAATGCAAATGTGGAAATGAAAATAGCAATAATTTTACATGTAAAATATGCAAAATATGAACTATGAATGAAGTTACAGGGCCAAATGATTTTCTTTTAAACCTTGACATAAGATATGACAATGCTAATACAACTGTGTACCAAATATAAATGACTTATCGTGAGTGATTCCCCTTAAACAGATCTAATTTGACTTTGTCAAGTCGAGACCATATAATCATGAAAATATTCCCTCCTGTAACATTTGTAAATTTGATCTTTAACATCATGAACATATATATATTAAAGAGGTTAATTCTTCGATAATAAAAATTAAAATACTTTAAAATGGATTATTTATAAAGCTGTATTTAACAGAAATGTGTTTATCTCAACATGCTCAAACTTAGAAAAATAATAAATAAAATGCTTCGCTGAGCGCAGCCTGATACGACCGCAGAGTTAGAACCCTGAACAGTTGGGGCAAGTTTGGACACAATATTCAAGCTAGATACTGTCTAGAATTTGGATTGTGATCAAATTTTGACATAATATAGGTTTCTGACACAAAATAAATGTGGTCAAAGATCTTAAAAAATTTGAAATGGGACATTTAATTTACCTTAAATGGTCTGATATCCAAAATCTAGCAACATGGTTAGATTCAGCATATAAAAAAACACCAAAAATTTAATTTTAGTTGAAATCAAACAAAGTTTAATTTTGAACCATTCAAACCTTAATATGGACTAATTTGAAAACAGGGCCCAAAATAAAAAATCTAAATGCACAATATGAGTCAGCATATCATACAGCCGCAATAATTCAGTTTTTGATGAAATCAAACGAAATTTTATTTTATACCCTTTTGACCTCAATGTAGACCAATTTAAAAATCTGGCCAAATATCCAAAATATTATTACAAGGTTAGAATCCCAAAAAAATAAAGACTTTAAATTAATCCCAATGAAATTGGTTAAAAGATTTGTATTTATTTTCAATTGAAGATTTCTTGCTATTGTGCAATACTGTGCAATTGAAGACTTCTTGCTATTGCATAACACTGTGCAATTGAAGATTTTTTGCACTTGCGCAATACTGTCAAATTGAAGATTTCTTGCTATTGCCCAATACTGTGCTACCGCGCAATACTATGCAATTGAAGATTTCTTGCTAGTGCCCAATACTGTGCTATTGCGCAATACTGTGCAATTGAAGGTTTCTTGCTATTGTGCAATACTGTGCTATTGCGCAATACTGTGCACTTGAAGATTTCTTGCTATTGCGCAATACTGTGCAATTGAAGATTTCTTGCTATTGCGCAGTTATGTGCAATTCAAGATTTCTTCTTGAAACTTTTCAAAAAATTTGAAATTTCAAAACTTTTGAAGAAAAAAAATATGATCCCACAAAAAAAATTGGAAAAAAAATCCCCCCCCCTCCAAACTCAATCTCAGCCTTCCCTTTGTGGTATGGAACCTTGTAGTACAATTTTAGAGAGATCCATACACTAAAACACAAGTTATTGTCTGGAAACTAGTAAAATGTTTTTTTTTTGCCCCTAATTCCTGCATGTTTAGAGCAATTACCCCAAACTCAATCCAAGCCTTCCCTTTGTGATATGGAACCTTGTGGTACAATTTCAGAGAGATCCATACACTTACACACAAATTATAGTCCGGAAACTACAAAAATGCTTGTTTTTGACCCATAATTCCTAAACTGTTGGTACCATAATCCCCAAAATCAATGCCAACCTTCCTTCTGTAGTATTGAATCTTCTGGTAAAATTTCATAGAGATCCATTTGCTTAAACTAAAGTTATTGTCCGGAAACCAAATGCGTCTTCGGACGACGCAGAAGCAGACGATGACGACATCATAGCAATATACGAATGCAAAAACATTTTTGCGGTCGTATAAAAATAAAAATGTATCAAACATCATATCATTACTTACCTTGTGCATTTTTGTCATCAGCCTCATTAAGTTTTGTCACAACAAGATAAATTGCATCTTGGGACAGAAATGTTTGGTGTGTGTGGTAAAATTCTTCATCGCCAGCAAAATCCCATAATAACAAGTTGGCATATTCCTCTTTGTCATGTAAATCAACTGTCAATTTTTCCATCATGGATTTGATATCTTTATGAGCTTTTTCTAATGACAGGTTTTGCTGTTGTTCATGATAAATATTGGCTACTTGAGATGCTTGGGGTTCAACTTGAGTGACTACTGGAGGTTTTATTTTTTCAGGCTGCTCAGATAAAGTTTTTGATTCCTTTGATTCATCAACACGTCTGTACAAAATGGTAATGAGGGTGTTGTCTTTGACAGTTTTATGAGCTCCCTCTGAATAGTTAAATTTAGTGTCTACTGGGTGTATAATTTGAGTGTCTACTGGAGGTTTATTTTTTTTAGGCTGAAATACTGTTCTTGGTTCCTTTGATTTAACAAAACCTGTTGGTGAAGTGGTGTCCGTAAACGTCTTGTGGGCTGCTTCTTCAATGATGGCTGAGCTGTCCTCACTGGCTAGTTTTTCTTCGTATGGTTTTAATAATCTTGCATGAAGTTCAGTTTCTTCATAGTTGCCTATAATTAAATAAAAAAGAAACTACTGTGTTTTTCCCTTAAAATGTGATAAAAAGATTTGTAATAAATTATTGGTTAAAAAATGTAGAGGAATAATGTGTGTGAGGACACAAATGGCCCTGCTCATGCTTTGGAATTTTCCAAGTCAAAAATTAGCATAACTCTAAGTCTAAATGACTCATTGCCCTGATTCGATCTTTGTTTGCGTGTTGTGGAATTTAACATGAGTTTCCTCAAATTTGCATAAGGCAAACTTAAGTTAAAGTGTAGAAACAAAAGTTGAAGAGTGGAAACGAAATGTAGAGCTGTGAAAAGGAAAAAAAATGCAATTTTCCAATTTCTAAAGGGGCATAACTCTAGAACGGTAAATGACTCACTGCCCAAAAGCGAGTTTTTTTTAGTTCTTAGCATTGTGGATGTGTTTCATAAAATTTATAATAGGCAAACTAAATAAAAACTTTGTTTTCCGCTTATAGTTTATGTGTTTCCCTCAGTTTTGGTTTGTAACCCGGATTTGTTTTTCCTCAATCGATTTATGACTTTTGAACACCGGTATACTACTGTTGCCTTTATTTAAGTTAGAGTGCGGAAACGAAAAAACAAATCAATTTTCCAAGTAATAAAGGGCATAACTCTATAATGGTAAGTGACTCACTACCCCAATTCAAACTATGTGTGCAAGTTTCAGGAGCGGATCCAGGATTTTGGAAAGGGGGGGCGTAGTATTAAAGTTTTTTTTTTTTACCTTTTTTGGCTAAAAAAACATAAAATAAGTGTAAAATGCATTTTATAGTTAAAGTGTAGGGGTTGGACATTTTTTAGTACCGTATTCTCTCCAATAATTTTCTATTATAAAATGATTGGGTGGATCCAAAGCTATGTACTAATTAATATATTTGATGTGGGATTTGTCGGTAAAAAATGGACATGGAAAATTCTCGTTTGTTGTATGGTTAGTTAGCAAAACCTCACAGATTTCTTGTTGTAAACAAGATATACGGCTATTCAATGAAATTTACAATACGACCGACACGAAGAAAGACAAACAAGCAATTTTAATCCAAATGTTTGGTTGAACAACAAGGAAAGTGAGGGGTTCCAAATCAACCAAAGGCTTCGAATGAGTTGGAAATGACAATGAAGTTGTGAATGACGGTCGATACATGGAGACATATAGGCCACACCCAGCAGGCAGGTTGCAGTCAGGCCTCGAAAAAAGTATTCAGTATATCAGTTCGGCGAAACAGACATCCCGGTCAGATATGGGATTCACATGCACCCCCCCCCCCCCCCCCCCAAAAAAAAATCACGCCAGTTTTTTATTCATCATGTTCATTTAATGCTAAATAATTCTGTTGAAAATATGTTTTTCTAATAGCAAACAAGTGGACAAGATTATTGTTTTCAATCCAGATACGGCCAGAATTTTTGTTTAAGACAAAATTCAGGATCAGAATTTTTTCTGTAAAATATCTCAGACTGCCCCCTCAAATCAAATGGTCCGTACCTTAGACTTTAAATCTATATCTAAAGCTTACTGTTTCGGGATCACTATTCAGCAATGTTATTAATGGGCTGGGGCGTGTGGGTTTAAACATGTTTTCGTAGGTAAATGATTATATTGCTGTGGAACTTTTTGTTTCATGAGAGTGTAATAGAGTATTACTTTCTGTTGGGTGGAATTGTGAAATAGAAGTCAATACGTTCATGCTCAATACTTTGTCGCTTTGAAGGCGTCATGCTTGTCATCCTCAGCCTAAGCAATGTGTTACTGTAATTTGAATTTCAAAATGACCGAGTGACGTTTTTTTCTACGTACTGGTCAACTCCACCGTAGCAAAACATGACTTTGACATAATCAATAATATATTACAGTAAATACGAGCGAAAAATATCTTTATAAGTAAAGAATTGTCACTTAAAAATTAAATACACGGGAAATGGCAAAGTTCACGAAGTCTAGTCTAATAAATCATTTTACAAAAAAAAAAGTGCAAGCAAAAGAGGGGGGGGGGGGGGGGCTTACGCCCTCTACGCCCCATTCTGGATCCGCCACTGAGTTTTGGTTTTTACCATTATATATGAGTTCCATAAAATTTTGAATAGAAAAACTAACGTCAGAGTGCAAAACTCTTAATGCGCCATTTGCCTAGTAGCAGGGGCATGAACAGCTCCACAATACATTTATTCTTTCAGTTTAATTCAATCAATAACTCTACAAAAACACTCTGCAAATCTATCAGAATCAGAAAGGTTGTATCAATATTCGTTTGTAGGATTGAAAAGTTTTGATAGAATAAGATAAAAGGAGCAAACTTTAGTGTATGATTGACACATACAAAACAAGTAAGTCTGTTGTTGTGGATGTCGTTTGTTGATGTGGTTTACAGATGGTTCTCGTTTTTTATATAGATTAGACCGTTGGTGTTTTCCTGTTAGAATTGTTTTACACTTGTCATTTTGTGGCCCTTTATAGCTTGCTGCTCGGTGTGAGTCAAGGATCCGTGTTGAAGGACGTACTTTTACCTATAATTGTTAGCTCTTTATACATTGTGACTTGGATGGAGAGTTGTCTCATTGGCACTCGTACCGCATCTTTTTATTTACAATGATTGTAACAGAATGATTATTCATGTCTTTAAAAGAAAGTCACGTGCCTAATGTTACCTAGGGCCACATACTATCTAATGCAGTTCTTCTTGATATGAACAGGAAAATATATGATTTAGGGTGGAGGATCTCAACTTATTAGAAGATATTTAAACATTTACATATGTACAGGTCGGGATGACTACTGATGACTTATCAAATCTATCATTCAATGCATCTTGATGTGTCAAACAGGAAAACATATGGTTCAGGGGAAGGGATATCAACCATATACAAGATTTTTGAACTTCTTCAACAGCAAGGGTTTGACATTACCCCTGGGGATCCCTTCTATATTTCATTTGATATGTCTTGTCACAATGAAAAGAATGTTCTATCTCTTTTTGTGATATTTTAAAATAATGTTCCAAGTCAAAGGTCAAGTTTTCAAGTAACAACCATTTAAACACGAAAATAAAAGTTTCCTAATAGGGTTCTAATGTAAAATCCTAACCTTCTTTTTGACCTCTCAAAGAATCTCTAATTAAAATAGATCACCAGGCAAAAATTAAAGCACCAAATTCACAACCAGATCTGTAAGTCTAACATTCTCTAGAACCTAAAGTACATCTGAAGAGCCTGTGTCGCTCACCTATATTTACTGATGCTTTGGAAATCATGTTAAATAAGGTTAAAATCATAATTAATAGTATAAGATATTAGATATTATAACGATATCTAAGCTAATAACAAAAAACTGAAAAATTTCGGTGAAATTACTAACTCAGTGGCAGCAACCCAACAACGGGTTGTCAGATTCGTCTGAAAATTTCAGGGCTGATAAATCTAAATCTGATGAACATTTTCCCCACCTGCCAGATTTGCTCTAAATGCTTTAGTTTCAGATATATAAACCAAAAACTGCATTTTACCCCTATGTTCTATTTTTAACCATGTCGGCCATGATGGTTGGAAGGCGGGGTCATCAGACACATTTTTTAAACTAGATACCCTAATAATGATTATGGCCAAGTATGGTTAAATTTGTCTCAGTAGTTTCAGAGAAGAAGATTTTTGTAAAAGATTACAAAAATTTACAAAAAATTGTTAAAAAATGACTATAAAGGGCAATAACTCCTAAAGGGGTCGACTGACAATTTTGGTCATGTCGACTTATTTGTAGATCTTACTTTGCTGAACATTATTGCTGTTTACAGTTTATCTCTATCTATAATAATATTCAAGATAATAACCAAAAACTGCAAAATTTCCTTAAAATTACCAATTCAGGGGCAGCAATCCAACAATGGGTTGTCGGATTCGTCTAAAAATTTAAGAACGGATAGATCTCAACCTGATGAACATTTTTACCCCATGTTAGATTTGCTCTAAATGCTTTAGTTTCAAAGATATAAGCCAAAAACTGCATTTTACCCCTATGTTCTATTTTTAGCCATGTCTGCCATGTTGGTTGGCAGGCGGGGTCATCGGACACATTTTTTAAACTAGTTACCCTAGTGATGATTGTGGCCAAGTTTGGTTAAATTTAGGCCATTAGTTTCAGAGAAGAAGGTTTTTGTAAAAGTTAACAGACGACGACGACGGACGATGGACGCCAAGTGATGAGAAAAGCTCACTTGACCTTTCAGGTCAGGTGAGCTAAAAATGGAAAAAGGTTGAAAAAGAAGAAGATTTTAAAATACCTCCCTTCCCCCGATCTGTGGTATTTGGTTAAGCAACTGGAAACGACTTGCATACATTTCATCCATTTTAACATGTTTAAGCAACTTGACCATAGTCACATGTCCTTTAAACTAATAGGGACCTTTACACTTTATATGACATAATAATGAGACCATACATCCAAGTAAGATTGCAATCAAATTTACAGATGTGGGATTTTACAATTTGTCGTCTGTTTGACTTTTACCTTGATCTTAGACAGTATGAAATCAAAATCTATATGACAATTTATCCAAATAAGGTTGCAAATCAATATGTTGCTTTTAATTTAGTATCAATTAACTAATATGTGAACAAAAAATTTGTAAGGGTTCCACGGAACCCAGTGTCTCGCCTACTTTTGCTGTTAGTCGCAGGCTCAACAAAAATGGGGAAAAAATTATTAAAAATTTTCCTCTAGATACTATCTTTTGATTGCAAGAAGTTCTGTTCAAGTTTGGTAAAAATCCAAGAAGGTTTATGAATCTAATAAATGTTTTAAAAACTTTAACTGCAGACTGTACGTAATGTTAACTGGAATAAAACTAAGTCCATTTATAAGTAATATATGGAAAAACAGGAAATAAGTTTTTACAAAATTTCCTTCTACATACTAGCTTTTGATCATTAACAAGCTTCTGTCCAAGTTTGGTACAAATCCAGGATAGTTTAAGAAAGTTATTAAAATT